GCGCGTTGCAAGCAAGGTAAATTGAAATTAAGGATTTGTTTCAGGCAGAAGCAAAGTATTGTGCTTCTGAAATGCCTGGGGAGATAAAATACTACGAGTGAGTAGTTTTCATGAATATGTTTTATAAAAAAAAAAAAAAAAAAAAAAGTGTCTATCTTATGATAAGTCAGAAGGAGGGGGAATTTTTTTCTTAAGTAATAAAGTAAGGCGGTTAACGAAACTAATTAAAAAATGAAGCAACGACAAGAGAAAGTAGAAAGAGAGATCGGAAGACGATGAAGGCGAAAGAAAGAAAGAAAGAAAGAAAGAAAGAAAGAAAAAAAAAGAAAGGAAAGGAAGATTAAAGAGAATGTAAGACATAACAGGAGCAAACGCGTAATTATATATGTGCATTCGTTTTAGATGTTCTAGAACCGAATATTGTTGCGGTATTGGTTGTTGCGTGTCGCCAGGACTACATTTCCATCATTTGTGGTATTATTGGTGCGCAAAACAGTTCACCAGATCGTTCTAAGTTTACGATGATCTTTCAAAAGCGATGAAAACCTTACAAATTTCTTATGATTGTTCGTCGTAGGATACTAGTTATAATTATGTTCCTGGTATGCTCCGGTGGTGGCTGGTGGTATCGATATTGGTTACAAGGGAGATACAGAGCAGCTGCGTCGGCTATTCCCACCAGAGCCTCGAATGCACGGGCTCAAAATTCTCTGCGAGGGCCGACGTGTCAGGGACAGAGGGCTCGTATTACGTACAATTCAGCGAGAAACACTGTATTATTGCACCGCATGTGGAAAGGTAGGCGAGTGTACACTCGTACAACTTGTAGATAATCGCGGCGTTGGATCCAATGTTCCATGATCCATTTATTTATGTTGTTAGGCCCTCAGAGGAACGGAGCAATGGCTGGTTACACCGGTAACGCGACAACGTCCACCCATTACCAGAACATGAGCGTTATGTTGAACGACGCGAACTGCCCTTACTATCAGTTATACGGTCCGCCTCCAAGTTACGAAACTGTGATAGCTCAGACACGTGGTAAAGTATCAAATTCGGCGTCGCCAGAATCGACGAACGCGCGATCGCCGAGCATCGCGCCAACGAATTCGAGCGTGCCGCAATGTTTCTCTTATACCTGCAACTTCTCCGCGAGATTGAATAATAGTTTAAACCAAAACGCGCAATACGCGAATGGCGGCACGAGTTCTCGGCAGGTCGACGGTCGGGACGGTATCCCGTTCGCTCATTTCCCACAGTATTGCACGGTGACAGAGAGAACTATGAGACAAAATGTATGCATGCCTTTTGCCTATCAGGAGCAACCGTTCGTTACCAGGGACACGTTTAACCCTATGTATCAAGCTAGTTCCATAAATTGTGTTCCATATCCGATGGACAAATCGTCAGACACTTCGGATCCGGAGAACCAAAGCTATCAAGTGTCGGATAGCGATAGATACACGATGGTAAATGTCGATTGCACGGCTGGTAGTAGTAGAGGGCAAGGTATTTGGCAGTCGGATGATCGTTCCATTTCCAAAGCGCACGGTAGCCAAGCAAAACGAGACACGGGCGAGAGAATTGAGAAGAATTTGGAAGAGGAACGGGAAAGTACGTCGGAGGTAACAACAACGGGCTTCGATGACACGAAGTCGATGGATTGGTCATCGGAAAATTTCGATTCAGAGTCGAGGAAGGGTCGTCGAGTGTACGGTGGTTCTTTAAAAGCAAGCGGCAGATACGCCGATAAAGAGAGATGCGAGGAATATTCCGTTCAGAGGGCTTTCTCCAGAATTTTGCCCCATTCCTGCGATGGACTTATTAACACAGAGCCAGCCACAACAACATCTGTCGATGTGTCCCATGACAAGAGCTCTTTAGCAGGGAGAGCTGACGTTAGTGTGAATTCTTTTCAATCAAATCCATCCAATAATGTGATATTAGAGTGTTTCGGTTCCAATGGCGCGTCCTTCTCCATGGAGAATATCGAGAAAGTCGAACAGTCTCATTCTCGTCTCGTAAACGCTAGTACAAATTCTGATCTTGAAAGTAAATTTAGGTTAGACAGATCGAAATCACTGGACTGAACAGTTATATGGAATACATTGCCATCGTACTACGTATATACATATGTAGTGCTTATTCTTGTACACGTTATTGATTCACGCGTATTCGTTATCCTGAAATCGATCGATCGTGTTCACGTATTGATATCACGAGTCGTGATCGAACTTTCATCCCATAAAGTTCTCCTGTAATCGATATAACAAAATGAACGCAGTATTGTTTTCTCTTCTGAATATATCCAGTTTTCTCACGATTGGTGCGTGTATCATTTGAGCCAAGTTTTTTTCGGGTTTTTAAGCAATGCTTAATCTATGAATTAATCCATTTTCCGATGTACATGTCTATTATTATGTCTCTCTCTTCTTGCCTCTCTATATATCTGTGTATCTATTTATCGATCTATCTATCTGTCCATCTATCTTTCTATTTCTTTATCTATCTATCTGTATGTCTATCTATTTGTCTGTCTCAATACGTATGGAGTTCAACTGCATTCAACTATTTGCGTATGTTTGAAAATGTTTCGTTCACGATATGCATTTATTTTCGTGAAGATCGTGTCGCGAAGCCAGAATTAAGAGTCGCCAGTGCGTTCGATATTTATACGAATGTATATGATACATTCGATTCTCTCGTAATTCGAACAAGAGGCTCACGGGACCATATTTAATATTGATCAGTTTCTCTCGATTTATTTATCGGTTACGGGATAATTTATTATCTGCCCCTGACAGTCGTTACCATAACGCGCGCGCGACTTGATTGGATCTCGTTTTTTACGATACGTGATACTGCCAGAAATCTTCGGTCAATGTCCCGTTCGAATTCGAACGATCGCTCCGAGCTGTAATGTTAATCGGTTTTACACAAACACTCGATTACACATCTCCTTTTTCCTTCCTCTTACGAACGAGCTCAAACCAATTCCAATTACGCACAAGGGCGTCGCTCGACGCTGTACTTAATCGTCCTACATGAACGTATCGGTATGCCAATAACTCGTTAGCGCACCTTTTTCTAATCTTCGCACGAAACGTCGTACTTTACAAAGCCACAGAACAGTTTCTAATTCTAATTATTAGGTTAACAAGAAGTTATATTATGGACTATTTCGTACGCCGTAATTTTCAAACGAAGAT